CTCTCCCCCCCCCTCCCCCTCCCTGGCACCCTGTCCCCTGCCCCAGCACCCACTAGCACCCTTCCCAGTACCATGTCCCCTGCTCCCACCAGCACAGTTGGGGCCACATTAGTGAGGCTTGGGGTGTTTTTGGAGGAGTTATTGCATCTCACTTGTGTGGCACCAACTGACTTTTCTGTGGGTCAGTGACCCTGATTCAAAAAAGGTTCCCTGCCCTTCTCATAAATAAAGACAATACAGAAACTTTTTTTGTTTGACATAGTATTTTATTTAAAAATGAAGCCTGGCCAACAAACCCCCAATTGGGGCCAAGCCCCCATCTGGCTGCAGCATCATAACACTCCTGCACCGCCCCCCCAGACCCTAGATCTGAGCCTATCTTACACTGGAACCCCCTGCCCTGAACCCCTGACATACCCCAACCCAAATTCCTGCACCCTCATATTCACAAACCTGTGGCTTGCTTAGTACCCCAACCCTAAATCTGACCCCAAGACTGCCCGGCCTGGAGCCTCCTCCCCGAGCCAGCGTCCCCTTCTTCACCTCCTCCTGCTTCCAGATTTCCTCCCAGAGCTTGCACCTCTCACCCCTTCCCACACCCAAATCCCTCATTCCCACCCCAGAGCCTACACATCCTGTCTCAACCCAGCGAGGGTACGGCTAGACTGCAGGAGTTTTTCAGGATTCCGGAGATATCCCCGAAAAACTCTTCCACTAAAAAAAGCAGAAGAGCAAACATGCTCTTTCGGTCATCCCTATATTCCTCTTTCCATGAGGAATAAAGAGGCTTCCAAAAGAAGGTTTTTTTCTGTCCATTTAGACAGGCCAAATGTTGGAAAAATCTCTTCTTACAGAAGAATGGAGGGTGGGGGGAAAGCATCAGTATAAGGGTTGCGGATAGCAAATGATGGAGAGGAAGAGAATAGAGAGGGCGGGGCTTGGAGGAAGGGGCGGGGCAGCAGATCTTGGCTTGTTCTATCATTTAAAAAGTGATCTTGGGTATAAAAAGATTGGAGACCACTGGGCTAGAAGATGTATTAAATGGGCACTACAGGCATACGTTAAGGAGCATACTTGCATTTCTTTTTCTGAATATCTTCTCTTTGCCATGATTGCAGCATTGTCTGTGACAAAATTGCACGTGACAGGTGAATTTTTGTTCAATTTATTACAGTTTTCAATACCATTCCTTTTAAATATGCTGTTTTGTGGGAATTTCCTAGTGTATCTGTTGTTTCTGAAAGAGATGCAACCCTATCTTTCTTTATTACACAGGCATATATTCTTTGATCATTGTGTACATTATTCAGGGGCGGCCCGTGGGCCTAGGCGAGCTAGGCAGCTGCCTAGGGCGCCGCTGGCCCGGGTGCCCGATGATGACGTCACGGGGCGCCCCATGATGACGTTACGGCCATTGACGGCCGTACAGTCAGGGGCACCGATTGTGCCCCCCTGCCTAGGGAGCCAGCTGCTGCAGCCAGCCTTGGGTCGCTCCTGACCTTATTCCACCCATCAAGTATTAAAATGGCAGATATTCCCTTAGTATTTCTTACACCCTGGTCAAGTTTATTCTCCTATGCTATAGCTAACAGGGACATGAAGGTTTAAACGTGTACATGGTTAAATGATGAGCCCAAGCTTGTCGTTTAACCTTCACAGTTACAAGCAGCCATAGTTCTTGCAGTTCATGCCTGCCCAGCCACGCACAAAAATTCATCATCTGCCCACTTACTTTGCAGAGCTGTGCAGCAGCATTCACCTTCCTGCTGGAAGGTGAGTGGCACAGCAGGCGTATGCTTGTGACCAGGGCCAGCTGAGGTGGCATGGTGGTGTGGCCGTGGGGGGGCTCTGCTCCGGCGACTGGGGCTGGGACCTGTCGCATGGCAGGGGGCAAATGCTTATCGGATAGTCCACTAGTCCTTAACATCCTTAGTTCGGTGACCTGTTTGGAGGACATGGGGACCTGCTTGAGTGGCTGGGGCTTTCTGGGGGGCCTGCTTGGAGGGCTGGTGGCCTGCTGAGGGGGGAGGGGACAGGGCCATGTGGTGGGGGACTGGGGCTGCTCTAGCAGCTGGGGTCGCATGTTTCCCTTGGTTGAAGCTGTGTTCAGGGCCTCAAAATGCCTTTCCATCTGCTTCCTGGGCTGGATGTGTGGCGGTTTCCCAAAGCTGGAGCTGGGTTAGGGGGCAGCTGTTCCTGGGGCTGGAGCCCCCTGCATCGCTCCTCTGCCCTCTCTCCCCCGCACTTTTTTTGTCCCTCAGAGCCCCTTGCCCCCGATCCTCTGTCCTCCCATGTGCTCCCCACATATCACTGTTCCAACTCCACTCAGCAACTCCCTGCAAACCCTGGGGAGCAGTGCCACTGGTGGGTGCCACAGTGGCAGATGTCCAAACAAGCACGCGTGACTTCATTGTTGGTGCACAAGACAAAACTCACTCCGCTGATGGATGGATGGAAAGTCTTAGAGGGAACACTGCAAACAGCCCCTTATCTCCTGCTCTGTCAGAAGTAGCAGCGCAGGGGTGGGCGGGCAGGCAACTCCCTCCCCCCCCATCCTGTGTGTAAATGTGTAACTGCTGAAATTTTCATCAGTTACATGTTTACCGAAATAAACGTATTTTAACATCTCTAATATCTAGTGACTTTCCATCAATGTCTGCTTTACCGGATGAAGTATAGTCTGGTTGTAAGGACTCAACCATGTCAATGAAGGTTTTAATTGTTAACAACGTGAAAAGGAGAATTTGTGGCAAAATGAACCAAGCAATTTTTCAATCTATGGTATCTTCTTGCTGTTTGCTTTTCCTTACTACAAACTCATCCATGTTGTGCATTCTGACGATTAAGAAGTGTTGTTTCAGGCTTCCTGTGTGTCCTGATTCCTGGCTGCCCCCCTCACCCTCTCTGCTGCTGTCTGTCAGAAGAGGTGAGGGGGCAGTTGGCGCTGCGGTGCTTAAAAACTGGCTTCTCCCTAGCACTGTCTCCTGTCTGGCCCTCCCCCAACCCCCGAACTGCTGCCTCTGTGGGAAGCAGCTGGGGAGTAGGTGGTTGCACGGGAGCCAGCTTGCACTGGGATAGAGAGGCAGAAAGGGATGTGTTCATGTAGTCGTTTGAATTAAGCCCTGATTTATCAGTTAATCATTGAAACAGTTAGTTTATAACATCCACACTTCACATATATTAATGGCTGTTGATAGAGAGAGCTGTGATCAATTGTCTGCCATATTCACTGAAGTTAAGCCAGAAAGTAATGAGCTGAATTTGTAGCAATGGAATCTAAGTTTTTTGGCTCCTGCCTCAACAGAGGGCATTGATGTCCAGCTAACTAGTTTATAGTTATTTAAGTAACTTGTCTATTTCGAATACTGGCACATTAGCACTTTTCCAGTGTTCTGGAGTTTCTTTTGTGTTAATTCAAGATTAAAAATCCAATATACTTGGTCACAAGTCATGCAAGATTGCCAATTTAAAAGTATTTACTGCTAATATATGTTGTCTAACATTCTTCTAGGTTACCAGTGTACTGGAAAGTACTTCATTTTCCTCATGTGATATAAGTACTGCTCTTTCAGAATATAACACAGAAATATTTACTGAATAGTTCTGCATTTTCTGCATCATTGTTAATAAATAATTTTATGATCCCCATCTAGTAATGGGTCTGTACCATTGCAGGGCTATTTTAATCCTAGTATACATAAAACCAAACAAAACTGATTATTCTTATTGTCCTTAGCCTTAGAGGCAGCAACAGGAGAGGAGGGGTACTTCAAAGCAGCAGCGGCATTTGAAGCTTGAGGCCAGACCCCAGGCACCACATGGAGCTGCAGTGAAATGCTGGGTGTATCCTGGGGCCAGCTGGGGTGTCCCAAGTCTGTACATGGCATTTCAAAGCAGTAGTACTGTATGTAGCCTGGAATGAGCTGGGAACTCACTCGCTGGCTCCGTGCGGCGCTGCTGCTCTGAAACGCCAGGGGAAGCCTGGTTTCAGGCGGCATGCAGTGTTTCAAAACTGCAGCATTAGGTGGAGCCCCAGATCAGCTGGAGACTCTGCCGCTGATCTTGGGCTCCGTGCTTTGCTGCTGCTTTGAAATGCCACGGGGAGCCCAGTGTCAGGCTCCTCACGGCGTTTCAAAGCAGCAGTGCCTAGTGGAGCCCACGATCAGCACAGGAGTGCCCAACTGACCCAGGGCTCCCCACACCCTTTCGCCTTTGGGCTCATCTAGGCCAGTGTTTCTCAACTTTTTTTGCTCATGGCCCCCTTCTGAGCCTTGTTTACCTCTGTGGCCCCCCTCCTAGCTGCTGTTAGTTGGAAAAAAAGGTACTATGCAGAACAGTCGAAAGAGGATATGCAAATTCCATGTGAATTTGCATATCATCTTCTGTGCGCAGTTTCGAAAGCGGAGCTTGTGAAAGTAGTTTAGATGTGGCTTTCTCTAAACCAGCATGATCACTTAGTTGTATTTCATTCAAATAATATTAACCTTGTGCTGTATTAACTTTCATGGATATTTAAAAAGATGTTGCATTGGATGTATGCATGCTACTATCTCTTACTTGTAATTTTGGTTGCCTGCTAAATGTCTGAGAGTCAACAATAGCAAATGCAGGGTCAATAGCAAATGCAGGATCATTGATCGTAGGGGACTAAAGAGACAAGGTGGGAGAGGAAATATTTATCTCTTAGTGGACCAGCTTCTGTTGGAGAGAGAGACAAGCTCTCAGGTTTATACAGAGCTTTTCTTTGGGTCTTATAGAAGAAGTTTGTCCAATAAAAGATAGTATCTCAGCAACATTAGCAAAGCTTTTAAAGCTAAATATGAAGTACATATGAAACCATACTTTTCAAGGAGTGCCTCTTAACCTTAAAACAGAATCCTCTATATACCTTGGGAAGCTGAATCTTCTGTACCAAAATCTGCATTCTGCAACATTTTGGTGTGGCAGAGAAATTCTGTGACAGATTCATTTTAGAATTCAGTTTAATATAGTTCCTCCTGTGTCTTTATTGTTTTTATCTTTTCACCTCATCCGAATATTTTTGGTACACTGCACACTTTTATCATGGCAAAAAATAAGTTAGGGGAAAGCTGGAAGCTTTGACACTTGGGTTTTTAGCATATTACATAGATGTTGGATGTTCATGGTTTAAATATATTAGTTAAATTTTTCAGCTAAAATTATCTGTAAGGAAAAAAAGTATTGACAGTTAAAATTATTCTCCTTCAGGCTTGAGAATACGCTTATTGATATTAACTAACTTCGTCAATATCAACACCTCTAGTCAGCCTTTCTGTAGACACAAGGAAACAATATACATTGTTTGTTTAATGTATTAAGACACAAGGAAACAATATACATTGTTTAATGTATTATTTTGTAATAGTTGTGAGAGGAAGGATTTTTGTTTAACTGTGGCAAAGGTGAATTTTGCAGCAGATTCCTTGTCCATCAAATATATAGAACTCTGCCTTAAATTTCCTTTAGTCCTTCAGTTCCAGCTTTTGCTCTCTACATAAGTAACAGTGTACTATTTTACAGTTTTCAAGACCCAGAGGAGGCACGTGACCAGTTTCATCTTGCCAGACTGAACTGCAAGAAATTTGCTTTTGTGCATGTAGCTTTGGCACAATTTGAACTGTCACAAGGTATGTAGGAACTTTGTCTAATGCTGGAAGCTTTTGTCTCACTATTTTATATTTCTTTCAAAATTATTATAATGGTTAATATTTTAAGAAAATAGAATATTGTGTAGTGGGTACAGAATTAGGAAAATTAGGAATTTAGAAAGTACTTTTTCCTTACTTAGCTGCTCTAAAATTCCCTTGAGGAAAAAGTGTGGGGGTTTTCTTTTAGTGGAACATGGGTCTTGGATTTGCATTTTTGTGGTGTTATAACTTCCTCACTTCACTTTTTTTGTTTAAAAGTACTGTATTGGACTGTAAAATCTTCAAGGCCTGGGAATTTGCCAAAGTACCATACATACTAAAAGTGCTATATAATAATCCAAAGTGCAGATCCTTATGTGGCAAAATCTGTGGAAATATTGCTTACGTTAATGTGTACAAAAGACTCTGCAATAGGTAAGATGATATTGTCAAAGCTACTGTTACTTATATTTTACCCATCATAGAATCTGAATGAATTACAGAAATGAAAAATGGTGCCAGGAATTATTTGCGATTAAATTGATCTTTTATATTTACCACCTCCACCTGTTGTCTACTTGAAGTGCTGTCTAGTCTGAAAAGTAACTTTCTTTAAAGATAAAAACATTACTCAACTTCTTTGGCTTGCCAGGAGTACTCTGAATCATTATCTGGGCTAAACTAGGCTTTTATGGCATTCAGCCAAAGGCCTGATTGCGAATTGGTGCAATACCAAGGTGCCACAGGGGGTTACATATTGGTACCTTTTGTATGAATTAAACTTTTAATGCATTTTCTCTCTCTCTTGCCACTTACCAGGAAATATAAAGAAGTGTAAACAGATTCTTCAAAAAGCTGTGGAGTGCTATGCAGTTCCACCTGATATGTTGGAAATCGCTCTACAGAATTTACACTTGCAGAAAAGACAGTTGCTTTCAGATGAAGAGAAAGAGAACTTCTCGGGTTAGTGCACTTCAGTATTCTAAAGTAACAGTGGAGCTTAAATATGTTTTTTGAATGATGAAATAACAGTACTAATACTGTTGGAAGGATCTTCTGGAGGATGGTGTTGGACTCAGATTTGTGACCTGTGTTCAGTTCTTCATTGTTTTACAGACTTAGGGCAATTGACTTAAATTACCCAGTGCCATGCCTCATCTGCAAAACGGGAATAAGAATTCCATTTTTCATGGGTGTGTTGAGGATAAAATCCATAAATGTGTTTCATAAATCCTGTTTGTTGGTGAGGGCCATGTAATATCTATATATTTCTTTTATTAGCATTTTTAAAAAGTGTAGTGTTGTGTATTGCCTCTGTTTTGTGAATTCCATGTTTCATGAGTACTATTGTAATAGGATGGCGGAAACGATTCTGCTTAAGAATTCATTAAGATTAAATTATCATGATGTTAGATGTTTGGAGCCTGCATAGAGATATCGTGTCTTTACTACTGGGAATCTAGCAGGTGCATTTTGTTAACTGAAAGCAGGATATAAGAAGGATGATTGGTAAAGTATTAGTGGTGAAAGTACTATGGTTTGGGACAGCTTGGGGGAAACGCTTAGGGTGAAAAGGTTCCCTTTGGATCATCAGTGCAGTTAAACTCTAGAAAAGGGATCAGTTTGGATAACATAATGTATTAATTCAGTCAGAGTAGGCTAGGAGCTATGTCTATTTATAAATACAAATTTGAACCACTTTAACACCAACCTGGGTTGTCTGCTCCCTGAGCTAAGGTAACTTTGGCAATGCTGAGCTATGCAAGTGGAATTTTTCATATTGTCATATAGTAGTACTTTCTGCTCCCTTATTCCCAGAACCTTTTATCCAGGAACTGGGTGCTCAGTCATAAATATGGGTAGGTACTCTGTAAAGGCCATTGTGAGAAAACTCAGTCAGTATAGTTTCTACTCCAGACTTGGTTAATGAACTTTTATTTTATTACTTACATATAAATCCTTGAGCTCATTTATTGTTCAAATAACTGCCCTCTTTACCCACTCAAGCATGGGAAAGCCTTAGTATAAATCCCAGTTCAGATTTCCTTCTCAGTAGCTGCTGGGTGTAGCCTATATCGTGTAAACTTGGTCTCAATGTTGCCTTATATATAGTCCAGATTCCCATGGCAGCATTATATACATTAGAATCCTATAGTTAATGATACTTTAAGGCAGTTTCATCTATTGAAATGGCAATACATTTCACTGGCAGCCACTGAATAATTCAAACTAATTGTTAATTTATAGTACCAAGTACACAGGGATCTGGACCACAAAACATGGCTGGACATCTCCGGAGTAGGAAAAAAAGTGATTCTGGTGACATTTCTTCTTATGCCCACAGATCTCCTTTTTGGTAACAATTTAAATACTTATATTTTTATTCAAGGTTGATTTGCTGTTTTTATTGCTGAGATAACTGCAGTATATTTTCTTATTTTTCAGGGAGAACAGCAACTCTCCACCAGACTTCGATGCAGTCCCCCTCGCTGGCCAAAATCCCTTAAAGCAATCAAACAAATCTACCCAGGTGGAAGCTCTTTGAATGCTCACTTTTGTTCTTTCCTGCTGTTTTGTTTTGTTTGTTTGTTTTTTAAGATCTGATAACTTTCAAAATTTTAAAATGTTTAGGTCTGTCCATTTGGGAGAGTTCCTGTTAAATTAGTAACTGATAGTGGGGAGACTGTGAAGAAGATGGATGTTCCACTTACAACTAGTATTACAAAGAGGTACTGTTAATTACATTAATCTTGTTGCAGAACAATATACTTTAATTCTTCTGTTCTTCTTTAAAGATATTATGGGACATAGAACTGACTACTGTTTTGAGTACTGCCAATGGTGATCATAGGCCAACTCTTTCCTCCCCCCTTCCCTCCTCACCATTGCAGTGGTCACCAACCCATCCATTTCATTTTCAGGCAGGAAGGCAGGGTTGTTGATAAGCAGAGCTCCACACCCAGCAATGTATGTTTAGGTACCCTTCATCCCATGTGGTTCCGTCCTGCAACTGGTCCTGGGCAGCTGGCTGTGCAGATTAGGACCGGGGAGAGGGCACTGATATCAGGGTATCCCACTGTAAACCATATCCATAGAACAGGGAAGAGGGAGGCCTGAGTGAGTGAGATTGTCTGTCTGCATTTCTTAGAGACAGTGCCCTCTTTCTGAGACTTCCTTAGCAGCCAGCTTTCACAGTCTCTCAGGTATGCACACACTAGGGATATAAAATTCCATTTAATTAGTTAATTGTTTAAATATTAAGTGTCTTGTTTGTTCTATGCATTTCATTTTAATTTTTATTTCTCTTACACTTCTATTTAATTATTTGAGTTCTAAAATGCCTAACCTGTCCTGATTGGAGTAATTATTCATATGGTTCTATTGTCTGGGAATGGGGAACTGCTCCCTCGCAGAGACTGCCACCTCCTGCCCCAGATCAGACCCTCTTTTCAGAGCAAGTACTCCCTATTCCCTCCCACACCTCTGCCCCCCTTTGAGCCATCACTCTGTACCCCTTCCTGCACACAACACTCTCCTTCATCCAGAGCCCCTCTTACACCCAAGCTGCCTCCCAGAGCTTCTGCCCCTCACCTTCTCTGGAACCTTACACCCAAGCTGCCTCCCAGAGCTTCCGCCCCTCACCTTCTCTGGGCCTTCAGCCCCAGCCCAGAGCCTGCATACCTTCCTGAACCCCAACCACTTGCCCCTGCCTGGTGAAAATGAGCAAGGGTGGAGGAGAGCATGTGACCGTGAAAATGAGCAAGGGTGGGGGAGAGCATGTGACCACGGGTGGGGGATGGATTGAGTGGGATGGTGCTTTGAGGATGGGGGTGGAGCCTTGGAGAAAGAAGGGGGTAGATCCTGGGCACAAAAAGGTTGGAGAACACTGCTCTGTGGTATTACTATGGATATGAATACATGATACAAAGTAACTTTTTCAGATGATGATACAAGTCGCATCTTTGTACAAAGGCTTGGAAGGGTAGGCTTGGAAGAGTTTGATTTTTATTGGCAAATGATAGTAAACATTGATTTCACCATGTACAGGCAAATTAAGGAAAAGGTATTTCCATAGATAAAGTAAGAAAATTACTGCTTGAAAACATCGTTTCTATTTTAATGGTTAAAGCTTTAGCATTTTGAATTAAGACCTGTCATTAAATAAATGTTTGATTCCCCTCCCATAATTTCCTGCAACTGTAAACATTAAGTTGATATGTTTCTTAAGCATTTTTAGAATTTTATCTATTATTCAAAAACTGTTTTTTAAAAGTTCTTTGTTATTCCAAGCTTGCATATGTACATTTTCTAAGGAAGCAAACCACATAGAACTCCTCATATGAAGATAGCATATGTACATTTTCTAAGGAAGCAAACCGCATAGAACTCCTCATATGAAGATGTGTCAGCTGTTTAGATTTGTCTATTGTACTCATCACTGTGCTGTCAAAGCATCGTCACTGCTCCTTTTATGTTGTGACTTCTGTCCAGGATTTGCACAACTGGCTCAAAATAGATGGACGTTTATCCCTGAATTTTGAAGTTTCAGGTTTCTTTTACCTCTAATGTTGTCTTTTATATAAACAGGCAGCTATCTGGCTCTAAACGCACAGAGTTGATTATGCCTTTTTTACTGCGTGAACCAAAACATAATGAAGATGATTCATATGACCCGGGTTACTTAAAGGTAACTTTATTTTTCTGTTTTGAGTTAGTAGTTGTGAAAACTACATAGATAAAATATTTCAGGGAGGGAATAAAAACAGTGACTTAAACAAAAAATGGTTCTAGTAATATGAATTCAGAAGCAAAATTAAATTCATATTTAGTGAAAAGAGTATTAAGGGCTTGTACAGGCAAGCTAACTGATCTGTTTGTTTTATATCTCCAAAAGTTAGTTTATTTTTGGCTATATCGTTAGAGAATGATACATTGAAAAAGGGTGGTTTCTTGAAGTGATTGTCCACATATTCCACTCTGTGCATGGGTACATCTAGATTACATGTCTCTGCCGACAGAGGCACATAAAATAGGTTACCTGACATAGTCAATGAAGCGGGGATTTAAATATCTCCGGCTTCATTAAAATAAAAATGGCCGCCACGCTGTGCACTGTGCCGGCTCAGCTGATCATCAGCACAGCACGGCAGTCAAGACGCGGATCAGTCGACAGGGAACACCTTTGTCGACCGCTCCCTTATGCCTCGTGAAATGAGGTTTATAGGAGCGGTCGACAAAGGCGTTCCCTGTCAACCGATCTGCATCTTGACTCGCGCACTTTGCTGATGATCAGCTGAGCCAGCACAGCATGGCAGCCATTTTTATTTTAATGAAGCCAGGGATATTTAAATACCCGCTTCATTGACTATGTCGGATTGCTTATTTTACATGCCTTTGTCGCCAGAGGCATATAATCTAGATGTACCCAAGGTGCCTCATGCATGCAAGATTTGGTCTTTTTAAACAGTGGTGTCTTTTGGAGCTGCATCTTTGGCATATGTGCCCCTTTGTTTCCTATCATAGTTGGTATAAAGGGCACAGGATGGAACCCACAGTGGTTGCATTACTTTAAGAGTGGTGTACTGGCTGCACATCAATTTTTTAAAAAAATTGTTCTCGTTTTCTGTATTGTATTATACTATTTTTAGCTTATGAAAGAGTAGGAGTAGGTTTTCTACCCTCCTTGGGGGTCTTTATCTCATCCGAAATTTTCTTGTAAATGGGTAAACCCCTATACACTCCCATAAGATAGCTGCACCTAAGATTTTGGGCTTCAAAATTTGCCCGTGCTATGATGCCTGTTATTGACAGCTGTCCCCAGTGTTGTGGTCAGGAACATGTCCCATGCAGGCCCTTTTCAAAGAATACTACAAAGACCAAGGAAGCAAAGCTGAAGTTCTTCCTTGCATCATTCTATGGCATCCGATGTGGGAAGACCATTGGAGACAACCCTGATGCCAGGCCATCTGGAAATGTCCAGCACTTTGACTAACTGCGCTGCTATGCGGAGCTCCCGTGCTCCCTCTAATCTGCCTCTGCATCAGCTGGACTGGGGTGGCCTCAGAGAGAGAATGTATGGAGTACTACTCCAAGGAATGGAGTGGGGATGGAAGGCTTTCCGTAAGACACTAGCACTGAGAGATCTTAAGATCAAGTCTCATACTGAACTCTCTGTGCTAGCAACAGTAATTGTTAAGTTTAAGGCACTTGCTTTGATCAGCACAAACAAGGAAACAATATCCTTTGCACTGATTGTCCCCGTACTGGGCACCTCAGCTCCACGTAAGCTTTCTCTCTGAACCATGCCTGCATCAAAACTGTTCATCTCTATCGTGGCAATAGAAATTAATTAAGGAGGTTCATTCTGCTTCTTCACTCATGGCGTCACAGTACACTGCACTTTGAAATCAGCCCACACCAGCTTCATCCCCTTGACAGTTTAGTGGCCACCTCTCAAAATTTATTTCCAGTATATGTGCAGAGATGAAGCATACAGGAAAGATCATTTCCACTTACGGAAGAGAACTATGCCTTTTACTTTCTGTCAGAAGCTCATAGTGAGGCATCATCCCCAGAATAACCTGTTGCTTCTCCTTGGATGGTGCAAAGGTTGCAGGCATTTGACATCCTTCATGAGATCCAAACTTCAGTAGATGTCCCTTTCAAGGATAATTATCTTTTTTAACAGTACTACTGATAATATCTTACATACGCCAAAGGACTCTAAAGCCACATCCTAGCCTATGTGCTGTTACTTCATTGTATCACAACTCCCATCTGACAACAAAAATTCTTCTTTGAGTGATGTCTCCATGCGTGCTCCACAGTTCTTTCCGTTGGTGTCAGGCTCATCCTGGCACCACAGATTGGGGACTTTGAGAGCAGTGATTGGGTGAGCTGCACATGCGCGAGCAGAGAGCTGCGCTCCCGCTTCTCTTCAGTTCCTTCTTCACTGCCCTCGGCCACAGCTGGAGCTCAGTTCTCCTCCTCAGCGCACTCTGCAGGACAAAGCAGAACTATCGTATCAGCTTTGATAGACCTGAAGCACTCAGGACTACCTTTCTTTTATACATTTAAAAAAAAAATCCTGCCGCCACTAGCTCTTACTGCCCTTCAGTGGCAAAAGCCAAAAAAAAGGAAACAGAAATCAGCAACCAACAAGGAGTCTCAGCTGCTTGTACAGTTACAGATAGTCTGGCATGTCTCCCAGAAACTCTCCTAAGGAGAAAAGGTGCGGCAAATACCGACAATTTATGCCAGTCTGTGATGCCCACAGCGAATGTATATGCTGTTTGGGGGACACACATGTATGTACCTCAGAAATGTGTCCATTGCCGTAGCCTCACAACCAGAGCTTACAAAGAGAGAGAGCTCACAGTGTGCACGCAGTCTATGGATAGAGCCCTGAAATCCTCCTCCCCCCTAATTCTGAAGGGGGTAATAAGGGCTCAAGCGCAACTTCTCCTCAAGGCAAACATCCAAGCCTTTCTCAGAGAACATGCTCAGAAACTAGACCCTCACCAGCCCGCTCTCTCCCCTCAATAAATTAGCAATGGAGATGAGCCAGGAACTTCAGGCACGGCAAAGTCTCAAGCCTCATCAATAACAGGCTCAAAGACATGCTCAAAACAGTCCTCAAAATCAGCTACCACAAAAAGGCCACCTAGCAAGGGCCCTGTGGTGACAGAGGCGCCACTGACATTAAGGGCACCTGGCTAAATGCGGGCGCACTCGATCCCCAGCATGTTGCCAACCTACGGTACAACATTCACCTGTGGCACAGAAAACCTACAGGGCTAGCTCCAGCCACCCCCTAGTAGCCCACAGTAACTCTAGATCCCCTGGGTCACAGCTACATCCATGCCACCGCCACCACAAGTGCCAACTAGCCTGCACCCAAGTCACAAGCCTGCATCCCATCGCCGTTCCTCAGGTCGCAAAACACAAGTGCCATCAGGATATGACTGGGGGGTCTAGGATCCTATCCCCTCTTGAGCCTTCACCATGACATCATTCACGCTTCCCACTATGAACAAAGGGCTCACTACGGTCACTGTCCTTATCACAATTCAGTTCCTACCATGGGGATACAGGGAACATGTTCTTCTTGCAATACTCCTCCCCAGATAGGGCACACACATGTCATGGGGATACAGGGAACATGTTCTTCTTGCAACACTCCTCCCCAGATATATGGGGTATACAGACCACCACATTACCAACATCCTCCGTGGCACACTGATTGGCATTACTATGACACTCATTGCAGCCGATGGTCCCCCTATCGTTAGTGGGCACCATGACACACTTCCACTGCACTGCCTACACCTGCACAAAGGTCACTGCTCTCCATGCTCTCAGATGCATCACATTCCCCATCTGAGGGCTAAAATCTAGAGGAAGGACAGATTGAGGATGACCCAACCATCCACTGATCTGATATAGCACCGAACGATAATTCATCCTCCACTTCTGATGAAGCGGTTATTCCAAATGACCCAACACCTGCTGATGATATCAAGCAATTCCAGGACCTATTTAAAAAGGTGGCTGCCAGTCAGGAGATGGTTTTATCAGAGGTCCAGGAGAAATAACGCAAACTCCTAAAGAATCTACAGCCATCTGTGAAGTCCAAAATCGCACTGCCTCTAGATGATGAAATCCTTGAGGCAGCCAATGAAGTCTGGCAAACACCTGCCATGGCCCCTCCAACCATTAAAAGGGCCAATAGGAAATATTTTGTGCCATTTAAAGGCATGGACTTTCTCTACCTGCACCCTCAATCAAACTCCTTACTGGTTGACGCTGCCAATCAAAGGTCCAAGAACCTACAACACAAAACACATACACAGGACAAGGATCACAAATGTTTTTGGGAGAAAAGTGTACTCCTTGTTCAACCCTCCAGCTATGCATATCTAACTATACAGCACCGCTTGCAAATCCTGATTTTGACAATTATTCAAAATTAATAGAACTCATGCACAATCTTGCAGAGAAGAAAAGACCTATCCTCAAGGCAATCATTGAGGATCACGCTATATTCTGTATGGCGCTGCAAATGGCCCTGGATGCCACAGACACTGCGGCTAGGTCCACCGCGACATCTGTGGTGATGAAACGTTCATCTTGTCTGCAAGCAGTGGGAGTCCCTAAGAACCTCCAGGCCAAAGTAGAGGACCTGCCATTTGACAAAAACAAAATTGTTTGCTGCAGGTACCGATGAAGCACTACATTCCAGCAAAGATTCGCACACTATCTTTCGCACATTAGGGATGTATACTCTCCTTTACCGAAGAAAGCGTTACCCACCCTGTCAAAGGCACAGGGACACAACCTTCAGTAGACAACACCAATACTGACCCTTTGAGCAAAACCGCTTCAGACCTCGAAACCAACAAGAGAGAGCCCCAAACAACTGCTCTTCTGTGACCCAGGCCTCGAGGCACAAAGTTTGAAAATTTGATTGAGGGTCTGCTTCCCCCCAATTACAGAACCAGGTGAGCACAATATATTTCACCACTGCTTTGCGCCCCTTCTACGATCAGTGGGCAGCAATCACTACAGACCGGTGAGTTCTAGAAATTGTCAGCCATGGTTATTCTATCTCCTTCATGGCAATTCCTCCAACCTCCCTCTTCAGGGACCCCTCTCATGAGACTCTGCTCCGCCAGGAGATTTTACATC